CATCAAAAGGGGGGAACTAATTTTTTTAAACATACTTTATTCAAAATATCTGAGTCAAATCAGCACCTCACTGAAAAAATTTTCATGAAAGAAATGAGTAAATTTCTCTCTTACTATCTTAGGCAACCAGAGAATATTCAAATCTATACTTTTTTTCCTTATAGGTTTTTGCTTTAATTTGCCAGCCTTCAAAAAGAGCCTCTGACTGTTGAGACAATCCTTTATAACAAATCAAATATTTATTTTCAGTAAATTCCTCCACCAGCCTTTGGTAAACAAAAGACCTACAGGAGGAGTAAAAATATGATGGCAGAACTATGGATCTATGAAGCAGAGGGGTCTCTCTGCCTGCTTCTCCTTTAATCTTAGTATTCCCCAGCATCAGCAGCAGGGCTGAGAAGTTATACCAAGACAGGGCACCAGGACAGGGAAAGCTATTCAGAACTTCCTCCAGTATCTGCTGAGTAGCCAGTAACTATCACATTTGTTTAAGTATCTAGCATAAAATATCGCAGCTGATAGCCCAACTTTGCCAAACCACAGTCACCTACCTAAGTGAGCAAAATCATTCAAAGAACGAAGGCAAGGAAGGAGCTCAGGGGAAAACACACACACATACACACACACACACACACACACACACACACACACACACAAAAGCAGAGTAGGGAAGTAGGATTCAAGCTTGGAGAAGCCTTGAAGGAGGAAACTGAAAGGCTAGATTGCACCAACACTTTAAAGAGGGGAGGGAAGCCCCTTTCCAGTCTCTGGAGGATGGGCTGAAATACACAGGCTTGACCTCTGGGTCAACAACTAGTTTGACTCTACCTTGATCTGCAAGCCCGGAAGCTTGTCCTTTGGTTCAAAGTGACAGCCACTCAGGCTTCATGTGATGGAGTCTCTAGCCATTATGAGACTACACAGAAAAAAAAAAAGAATATGTTTTGTGCTTCATCTTCTGTCCTCCAGAAGAGACATGATGTTCAGCCTTGGAAAGGGAACTCTACCGACCCTATATTAAACTGATTTAGAAATACTGCTCAGTAGCCATCAAAATAAACTGAAGCCAAGCTACAAGGGTGAGGAAGAAAGGAAGAAAGTCAAAGTTTGTGCATCTGCACAACACAAGAACATGTCCTACTTCAAGCATCTCAAAGAAACCATCTTCCAGACAGTAAGTATTTCTCTTTGGCAGAACCCATCTCTTAAATCAAATATCAATTCTGCATGTAATGCAATTGATATTGTAAATGTACTAAGCAGCTGTCCTCTTACCTGCCTCTACATATAACTCCAGAACAGGTCTCTCGGAATCCCTCAGCACTGCAACTTTCAACAAAAAAGAAACACTTAAACTGCATTCTGCATTATCCCTAGGAAAAAAAGTGACAGACATAGACTATTTTATTTTTTAATAACCATTTCTTAGAGCTACAGTTAACCAAAAACTCAGAAGTAACTTGTTTGTCTATAACCATTAAGATTTTGGAAGCCTCAGGTATCTGAATGGACAGCTGGATGCAGGGTGTCAGTTGCTTGGGCACCAACCATATTATTACACAACATACTCAACTAAATCGTTTTTGCCCAGACTTTATAACATTTGAAATCCTCTGCATTTTCAGTTGTTGCTACATATTATGACTTGACATAAATTTCAATGGAAAACTTTCAGTTCAAGATGGACACTAAGACTGAACTCAGGGTAAGGAGAATGCAAACCGAAAGAAAGAAGATAAACTTATTAGAATCTCAACACACTAACTTTTTATTCAGTTTGATTCAAAATAAGATTAATCTAATAATGAAATCGTTTGATATAACAGCAATCAACATTTAAGGTATTTTATGTTTCAAAGTATGGCTCAAGGAACACCCATTGCTTAAATGCACTTAGACATAACAAGACAGTATTTTTTATTGGCATCATCGACACCTCTGAACAATAGCCTCGTAGATATTAAGGTTTAACCTTCCTTTTCTTTGGTGGCTGTTTAGACTTTCAAGGAATAGATAACTCATTTCAACAGGAATCTACTGATATCTACCTCTATATAACCTTTAGCTATGACATGGAATGCCAAAAACAAGCTTTCATTAGCTTGACCTCCTCCATTTCCTAACATCAAGTTATTCCCAAATCATGTTTTTATTTTAGATGTACTGATCTTCTGATGTAAAGTTTGGCCTTCTAAATATTAAATGCAATCAAAGGCCAGCAGTCTGCCTCGTTCTGAAGACTGAGAAGGAAGCAGAAAGGGGAAATTTCTTTGAATTGTTTGGTGACTTAGTGCAAGTTTTAAGAGGTCAATAAATCCTGGTGCTATGAGCTAAATCTAATGGTAAATAATTATATTTCTTAGACACTATATTATCTTGGTAAACAAAGAAAACACAGTTTTGCCAAATAGATCTTCCATCTAAGTAAAATCTTAAAGACAATTATTTAAATATTACCACAAATAGGGTCATATTTTGTTTAAATAAGACATTTAAACTGAAGATAAAATGCAAATATCCATTGTTTTAAAAGGGAAAAAAATACAAATTAAATGGCCTAGTCTTTTATCTGAGTTTATTAATACCATTTAAAATATTACAAATAAATCAATTACATTTCATGCATTTAAAATGCAAGTCTAAAATGTTCCAGAGAAAGGTTTTTCATTTCAATGTGAAATATCCAAATTATTTCAACATTACAATGAACAATTAGTTTGCAGAATCTGCAAACACTTAAATGTAGTGTCAGGAGTGTTTATCAACAGTTAACAATATTACCTTCAGGAAATACACAAAGGCCAAAGTTAGTCGAGTTTCACTTGGACAATTTATTTGATACATGGGTTTTGGCAGACCCAGTTATTATGAAATATAGAAGAACTCTCACTTTAACTATGCCTGAACTGCCAGCAAATGCAAATAAGTACATGCTCCATTAAATTAAATGTCATCCAACATTTATCAAATATTGTCTTAGTTACAGTTTGATGCCTATCTAAATTCATATTCGAACAAAACTAGGGCCCCGAAAGTGCGTGTGTGATTCTGCACCTCCAGAAATGAGTTCAAAAAAAGCCTGCAGCTCGTCAGAACCTCGGCAATAACTCTTAATATTTTCTTGTGACAAAAAAAAAAAAATCAAGTTTACTTCAATATAGTTTCAAATATTTACTGGAAGTAATGTACAAGAAAAATACTATACAAAATCGTCTCCTGGACAACTGTATGTACCTCACACCTCACACCGGCAGAGTCAGGTTTAATGGGTAACTAATCTAGAACGATTTTCCAGTTATACAAACCATTAGGTTCGGATATACTTTACAAAGAATTTTTTAATGTTTATTTTTCTATTTTCCTCTTTTGGCATTTAAACTACAGCCTCATCTGAAATAAACGATAACTTCCTCACTTGAGTTTAAATCACAAAAAAAAAAAAAAAAAAAAAAAAAACCTCGGCCCAAAATAAATCTGCCCATGGCTCCAGCCAGGCCTCTGTGGTCACTTAAAAACTGAAAAACTCTAGCCTCTAAAAAAAAAAAAGATTGGGAAGTATGCTCGGGAATTGTGAAAAACGAGGTAGAGAAGGGCAAACACGAAGATAGTTAATCTGGTCTCACCGGAAAGGGGGCATTTTTGCATAAGAAAAAGACACCTAACCTCACTCCCACCCCCACCCCATAAGTTAATGCAATCAAAATAACTTTGGGATCAATATTACCACAGTTTGGAGAAAAAGACGTGCTCACCGGCAGAGGAACTATCTAAAAAGGAAAGTAAGTAGAAGGTTGGGGTTCTTCCCCGTCCCCCCACCTCAGTTTTTCAGTTAAAAAAAAAAAAAAAAAGTTACAAAGGTGAAAGTAGGCGGCTGCTGCAATGATTCTCCAAGGCTGCCCTTTGCTGAAATTTGCATGGGTTTCACCTCGGGGAACAAAGGGACAGGCAGAGCTGACACGGGGAGAGCTAAACTCTGCAAACAGGGTCTAGGTCCAGCCGCGTCGGCACCACGATGCTGTGAGCTCCCGACACCTGCGCAGCCGAGGGCAGCCGCCCAGAGGTGAGCTCCTGGGTCCAGGAGCCCAGGACCGCGGTTTCTGGAACCGAGTCCGCCACCACCCCGGCGGAGGTCCCCCAGCCTGGCCTCCTGCCTCGCCCTCCCCACAGCTCCGCCGAGTGCTTCCCTCCGGTGCTGAGGCCCAGGGTCTCCCTGGCACTGGATGCATCCGAACCTAACCCCACGGGCGGCTGCCCGGGGCTGGAGGGGCAACCTGGCATGCGGGCTCCCTCTGCGCCCGGCTCGGCTGCCACTCGGGCAGGAGGAAGGACCTGGGCCACCACGGCGTGGTACTTACTGTCCACATCCCTTTTACAAAGTTACGTGAGAAGGATCGGAGAGAGAAAGAGAGGGGGAAGGAGAGCGAGAGAGCGAGCAGAGTGCAGCGGAGAGAGGCTGGAGCGGAGGCCAGAATGGGCCCGGCCGGATGGGGCCCGGGTGAGCGGATGCCGGGGCCAGGTGCGCGCCCGCTCGGCTGCCAGTCACTCCAGGCCGTTGCGGTGCCCGGGCTCCGGGGGCTGCAGCAGCTCCGGGGAGTGGCAGGTCGGGCTTCCCGCCGCACTGTGCTCGCTGTCGGTGTCGCTGCCCTTCTTGCCGCCGCCACCCGAGCCCGCCGAGCCGCCGCCGCCGCTGTGTGTCTTCACGTGCTTGCTGAGGTGGTCGCTGCGCATGAAGCGCTTGTTGCACACCGGGCAGGCGAAGCGCTTCTCGCCGGTGTGGGTCCGCAGGTGCCGCTGCAGCTCGTCTGAGCGCGTGAAGCGCTTGCCGCAGAACAGCCAGTTGCACACGAACGGCCGCTCGCCCGTGTGCCAGCGCAGGTGCGCCTTCAGGTGCGACGTCTTGCCGTACACCTTGCCACAGCCGGGGATGTGGCAGCTGTGCAGACCCTTGCGCCGCAGGCTCGCCCCGGCCGGGCCCAGCCGCTCCGCCTCCTGGCAGTTGGGACAGTCGCAGGTGGCGCGGCCCGAGTAGCGGCGCGCAGACGAGCGAGGCGACCCGCCCAGAGGCGCCGACGGCCCCGCGCTCAGCATCGAGCTGCCCGCGCCCGCCAGCGGCGACGGTGCCGAGTCCGGGTAGGAGCCAGGCAGCACCGGCTTGAAGCCATCCATGAGATGCTGGCCCGCGGGGCTGAGCAGGTGCGACGACGCGCCGCTGCTGAAGGCCGAGTGGCCCAGACCCGAATAATCCGAGTTGTAGCCTCCGAGCGGCGAGTGCAGCGACGTCTGGAGCCCCCCGGCAGCCGGGTGCAGAGAGCCGGGCAGCGCCGCCGCGCCGTTGGGGTTCTGCACGTCGATCCAGCCGGCGCCCACGTCCCACCAGCTGGAGGCGCCCGCGGAGCCCACGTCGCCCGCCGCGCCCAGGCCCGGGTGCGAGGGCTTGAACCACGACTCGTACGGGTGCGCCATGCCCACGCGCGGGTAGATGCCCTGCAGCCCGTCCACCGACGTGTGCACCTTGGAGATGAACACCGGCTGGTGGGAGCCGTCCTGCGAGTGCGCAGCGGAGCCGCCGCCGCCGCCTCCTCCGCCGCCGCCGCCCCCAGAGACGCCCGGGGCCTGGAACACCGAGTAGTCGTTGGCGAAGGGCGAACTGGACGCCGCAGCTGCGGCTGCCGCGGCGGCGGCGGCGGCGCTGCTGGAGGTGAGCGAGAAGGCGCTGGAGCCGGGAGAGCCGCCGCAACTGAACGAATCCGACACCAGGGCCGCGGCCGCCGCTGCAGCCGCCGCGGCCGCCGCCGCTGCCGAGGACGAGCCGCCGTTCCGGGCGGCCCCCGACACGCCGAAGCTGGAGAGGCTGGAACCCACTACGTTGCAGCTGCCGGAGGAGGAGGACGAGGAGCGTTTCCAGGGGTGGAAGCCTTTACCGAAGGAGGAAGAGCTGTCCGACAGGGAGGAGGGAGACGGGCTGGGGCTGCCGATCTTATTACAGGTAGCAGCAAGCATGGCCAGAGGAGTAGATCCCAACCTCGGTTCTTCCTGCGACGAGCAAAGGAGAAGGGTGGGGGAGGGGTGGTGGGCAAAGGGCCGGTGGGGGAGGGAGGGAAGAGAAGTGCGTTAATCCCCGGGTAGCCTCCAGAACGCCCCACTGCTCCCCAGCTCGCTGCGGCGCGCCGCCACCAACTCACCTGGCACCCCCAGTAGCCCCGGCGCCCGGCTGCTTCCTACTCTACAGGAGGGGACAAGTTTGGCTGCGGGCGTCTGATTCCGGAGCAAAGCGCCACGCTAAAGAAGAGTTTAACAAGAATTCTCACCTAAAACAATGCTCTAGTGCACCCAGGCCCCAAGACACTTTTATTCAAACAGGCAAAAAGTCCAGACCAGGGAAGAAGTTCGTTTCCTTGGCCGAACAACCTGGGGAAAAGCTCTGGTCTGCGTTTAAGCTCGCTCCTCGGCACACCAGAGAGCTTCGCAAATCCTGTTCCGGTTCCCCCATCCCACCCATCCTTGGTTGCTTCTCCCGGGCCAAAACAGGTCAAACTGTAGGGCTTACTCGCTCTTCCTGCTTTTTACATTTTCTTTTGAAAAAAACAACAACAAAAAAAGTATCTATAATTGCAGAAACAAGACGAGTTCAACGTACCTGCAACACCAAGCGGACTGAGGAAATTTTTTAAGGGGAAGGGGAGAATCTGCAGTATGCCAGAAGGAAAAACTTGCTCTCTTTACCCCCGAAATCGTCGCATGTATTATGGGCTGCGCGCAGGTCTCCCGGGCAGGGAGCGGCCAGGCGCTGCGAGGTGGCTGGTCTCAATGCCCTCCAACCTTTCCCTGTGCTGAAAAAAAGTGGCTTGGCCCCCTTCTCCCCCCTTTTTCTTTTCTCTAAACTCACTTGAATTTAAAGGGGGGGGGGCTCTCAATAGAGAGACTGATAGCCCGTGGCCTGGCCGGGGCGACTTTAACCCCCTCCGATCGACAATAAAAGGAAACTAATTAAACCAGCAAGAGAAAATCCTGAGACTCACCCCTAGAAGTGAAGTTGCCATCACACAAAAGTGCCCTCCTCCTCTGAGGATCTTTTTTATATTGATAAATCAGAGGCAGTGTTTTTTTTAGAGGTGTGCAATACAATGATCAGTTCCGCCCATTCCACCACTATTGTAGCTCCCTCTCCGGCTTTGAAGTACCGCGGAGGCGCGGCCAGCCAATCTGCAGCCTCGCCGGGCCGCGCCGCGCGCGCGCCGTGAGGTCATCTGCGGCGCCG